AAAAGTAACAGAACTTGTTTGGAAGATGCTATATAAGGACAGGCATCGGCTGAATCAGCAGCCCCATATACACCAAACTTTTCGTTGTTTGATTCTCTCCCTTCAACCTTGCCTAGCACTTCGGTGCCAGGTTGTCCTTTCCTTTTGCCCATCCTCCTTTTCCATCTCTGAGTATGGGCTTCTGACTATCCTCCAATCTTGCCATTTTCTTATGGTCATTGTATTATTAGAATGTCTCATAATGTGTACCTTTCTTTGATCGTAGTGGTAACAGGTTGTTGGGAGATGGTGCACCAACAGCAATGATGTGAGATATATCATGAGGAACGGCTTTTTTGTAAGGGCTCAAGATATTGGATAGGCTGAGGCTCGTACTTTGTTGAGTGCAACGATAAGAGTAAGCGGAAATACTCCGCCCTATGGAACAATCATTTTTTGAGTCTTACATGGAGGTTCCGGATTCGAATTCGAAGCGACTGAGATTCACTCAAACATTCGAGGAACTGATTTGAGTTGCACAACTGAGCTCGGTTCTGTACGGACAGTATGGGAACGAATTCTCCGAATTATCCGTGAAGCTACCCGACTCGTGCTAAGAAATTCAATGGAATTTTCCCACTATCCTTCAGTGCATTCGTTTCGTTTCACATCTATTGCAATGCCTTCGCCTTCCCAATCGATATCCTCACCAAATTCTCCTAACGTCCACAACATCAATAATGACATAGCAATGACATGGACGACGACTTCGATGCCATAACGACAGCAGCAATGACGACTCAATATCAGTAACAATTCCCACAGAATCGACAGTCCGACAACAGCACGTTCGAAAGAAGGAACTTCTCTTGCAACCCCTATATCCACCACGAAGATGATGGCCCCAACCATCAACGACGATTGACATGAAGCTCGTTTACTCATAGATCAAGCTTTCTACACGCTTCTTACGTACTTCACTGCACAGATCATAATCCCAAGCCAACACCTGCACTGAACTCCTGATAAGAGCCACATATACCTTGAATTGTGACCATGCGCGTTGTGAAAGCACTATTGCTAACAGCGGTACAAATGACTACGAGGGAGCCACGTGATGTTTTAACAACAACAGAAACTGCAATCTTCACTACAGACCCCTTCAGTAATTTTCTGTGCCTACAACTACAGAGCCTTCCCCCTCCTTTCCGACCACGAAACGCTCCGGCGTGGCGTCATTTCTCCACTTGAACTTGACAACTTCTGGAGACAACGCATGCGCATCCTGAACATGTCGATCCTACTCGACCATTGAAGTCCTACCAGGAAAAGCTGACGCTGCGGCCGTTTGGACTGCCGATGACTTGTTGCTCACAAAATGGCGTCAGAGGACATCAACAGTTGTTATAGTCATCCACAACTCAATAAAATATGTTATACTTCGACTTCAATCACAGCTGAAATGACCATCGGATGCATATACGTGGAGAATAGAGCCTCAGCTCTCAATACCGGGCTATGACATTGCAAAAGTCTCGGATGAGAAGAAGGACTACTTACGTCAACAGTATAGAACTGCTCTAGCATGCACAATCCAAACGAATTCAGGAAACAAAGGAAGGAAAACAACGAAAATTTCCAACAACCATTATTTATTGCTCTTTTGTTTCTAATATTAATTTTATCCTGTAAGCTCTTTGATAAATCTAATCGCAGTGTTGATGTACTTGATCTCGCAATAAGACGTGTTTTTATTCAGCAGAATATCCTCCATAGGTTTAGAGTAGAATGTGGGACGCCGCAGCTTCAGCGGTGCGGACGAACAAGTTTCAGGGCTTGCCTTAGTGTTTTAACGGCAGATGATAAACAGCTTGGACAGAAAACCGACAACGAATGAAGACCTAACATCGAAAATTTGTCGCAACCTTCAAAATCCGTATGTCATGAAGACGTCCATGATAAGAATTTTTCGCCATCGACAGCGGACAAAACGCGATTGTCATATCTCCACAATATATACGGTAGTTATCAGAGGATCAGATCCCCATAGTTACACTTCAGAATATTGGCCGGCAAAAATTATGCAATTTGGAAAAACCGCGGCATCTATGGCGAAGAAAATGGTTGCGCGAGGAACCCATGAGTGCGGATTTCAAGACATACAGAGAGGCAATGGCGTTTTGATTTTGATTCGGAAATGTAGAATCGCTTTGAAGATACCCGGATGCGCGACCATTCCATTTGACCTCACGACGCGAGTCCGCACAAGACGCTGTATGGTTATAGATGGAAATACTATATAATATATATGCGCGCAGCAAAAGAAGCGAATGAACGAAATCGCAAGATAAGTCATGCCGAAAGAAGCGATAACTATTTTCCAGTGTCATGTTGGAAACAAAAGGATGAGATTCGCGCAAGCAAGTGACAGACACTACCACATTGTCACCGTCTTCTGGAAGTATTGAAGAACAATGTAGCAACACCTCCAAAGTCGCGATCTATCGGCGGTAAGGATGGAGGTTGCGGGACGCAACCTTTCGGAATCCCGTGGATTTAAGAGAAACTTCGAATGTGTACGAAACGAGTTTGGTCGTACTTAAAAGCTGTGATCATGTGCGCAAGTGGAACCGAGGAAAAACCAATAACCAATAGGCAATAAAGTATATTACTACAAAACCTGTACAGCAAAGAACAAATACTGTAATTGTCTTTCACATGCCCAGGTTTCAAGATAAAAGGACTTTCAAGGTATTAGGTTGGCGGATAATTTCTGTTACACTTTTATATTTTTTTAAAAATCTAAGAAACTTTCGAAAATTCTTATGCTTAGGAAGTTTTGGCGGGGTGCGCCTACCAGCCGGCAATGTCAGATCAGCGGTCAGTGCGCAAAACACTCACTTTATTGGTGGGAGTACATTCTATGAATATCTTTGTCAGCGGGCTGACATTGTTCCAGGTGATTGGGAGGAGATCGGCGATGTGGTATTTGAGCAGGGTATGGCCTTTAGTTTTTAGCGAACATAAGAGAATGGCACAACCATGTCTGCACGCGAACATAGGAGGATGGCACAACCATGTCTGCACACGACCATTGAGCTACATGTTGCGCCATGTCAGCGCACATTGGCATTTGAACAATCTTTTAAGATTTACAGAAATTATTTTCAACCTTTCCGTATCAAATCTTACACGATGAACACAAAAAGAAACGTTCGACGAATTTCAATTTTTTTTTAGTTGTTTTTCACCACTTGTTTTTGGCGTGCTAGCAACACCAAAGTGTTACCATAAAAGGGGCAATGCGAAAATATGTCCTGAAAAAATTATGGGAGAGATGAAACACAATTAGACGCAGAGAAAAAATCAAAAAAGTGACAATTTTGAGTATGCTTATAAACTCGTTATAAAGTTGCTGGCTAATTGTGCATTTGCGGCATCAGTCATACTGCTGTGTACGCCCTGCCGTGGCCTACATGTAAAGCAATTTTAAAGATTTTAGAGAACTTCTGAAACTTTTCAGAATTTTACGAAAGAAGTGTAACAGAAATTATCCGCCAACTTAGTATTTAAACTGTTCAATGTCTAATGTTTTGCGAGGTTAGAATGAGCCAAATATAAAATTTGGTCACTTCAGAAACTATATTGTAGTAAATCAGAAGGCATGTTAAAGGGATGCAAAAAATTGTATCAAAGTGCAGAAGGTTAGCCTTATCAGATGGTCATTAAGGCACCTTCAAAAGTCTAAAATGAAAATTTTGAAAGTTAGCGAAAGTTAGAGATCAAAAATGAAAGGTTTTAGTTTTCGGCAATTCTCTCAGCGCTCTTCGAAGCAGTCACAATATGTACACTGCTGCTGGAAAGAGGAAGATTATCCATCGGATACTGTTAAAGGATTTGTCTATTTTCATTTTAACAAATTCAGAATAGGTCTAAAAACGGCACAAACTTTCGGACCCACCAATAAGTTACGAAACTAGTCATTATTTTGATTTGCGGGTAGACAAATAAGCAGAGCGAACTAGCATGCTAGTATGCATCTAGTAAAGTAGTTTAAGACGACTATTACAAAATTTATTTGACACAATCACGATACGGCCATTTTATCGTGCCGTTCCGGACATACGCCATCGTATCAACCTTCTCGTTTATCTCACTCACCGTTTTGTAACATTGTCGGAAAGGCAGCTCTGTAATAAGAGCTCTTCCTAGATGCCTCCCAGCATGTGTTAGAATACCATGTAGTTCTACTATTAACTCGCGATGCTTACAAGGGAAAGTTCCCAAGTCAGCTCGGCCAACCCGGATGAGTCATATATCTCCGTAACGGGCTTGAAACGCTGATTCCAAACCTGCTTTCCTTTTCTGCGGAGCAACTTTCCGAGGGAAGTTATGAGCGTTTAATTGTGTAAATTTGTCATGTTCAAAGTGGCTTAAAATCAGTTGAAAGCTGTAAAACAACACCTAACGGAATTTCAATATCTGTGTTCCGTCCTTGTGGATCAATATACTTGATACAAAACTGATAAATTACTTTTATGTGTTATTGTACAGGTTTCGCCAACTTTAAGCCACTTAAAACATGACAAATTTAGACTTTTAAACGCTCATAACTTCTCCCGGAAAGTCGCTCCGCAGAAAATGAAGGCAGATTTGGAATCAGCGTTTCAAGCCCGTTACGGTGATGTATGACTCATCCGGATTGGCCGAGCTGACTTGGGAACTCTCCCTCGTTAGAAATACGAACCAGCGGTGGGTCGTATTCTCGTAAACTGTTAAGAAGCTGACGGCCTTTTGCGCGGCACTTTACCCATCTTTCTTTCTGCGTTTTTCTGTTACTGTTCCGTCGATCTTAGAGTTTCTGCGATATGAGTCTATCAGTGACGTAACTCAACCGCTGTCGGCCTGTTCATCTGTAGATCGCAAGAGTGGTTAAATCAAAAAAGTGGCTGTCAACGAAGACCTGCAGATCTTATCCGTGTGCAGACTAGAAAACTTATAGATGTAACACACCTCGTCCAAATCAAGACTTTTATTTTGCTTCAATATTCGAATTTTGCCACCTGAAATTGGGAACAAGGGCGAGCCTGTCATTATGCCGTCCTGTCACATACGTGGCGTTCTCGCTTTACTTAGTACGAGAAGAGTGATAATACTGATAGAAGTGAAGTCAAAACAAATGGCAAAGTGATAAGCAGAAATAAGGAATGTGAATGACAGGTGGTTATTAGATCTACTGTTGGCGGTTTCCAGCTACAAGGGCGAGCAGCGCGTCACGGTATTGACCGGAGGTGTCACCCTGTATTGGTGAATTTTGTATTTACACGTTAAAATCGAAAAAATTAGTGGAATCTCGAGCGATTTGTGCCCATACCTTGATCATATCGGCGAGCGTCTTATCGTACATTACCTCGAATATCTCCTTAATAAGTTGGAGATCGACTTCTGAGCGATTGACCAGCACCCGAATTAGGTCATTGTCATTTGTTCCTAGGCCCTGTGCACAACAATTCGACAAAATCGTAATAACTAACAAAAGTCTAGGAGTACCTTCATCGAGTAGTAAAGCTGTTCAGCGAAGAACTTTTGTTTGTCAGTGGATGCTTTGACGATGGTGAGATAGCTCTTTCGCACGTCACCGCCGAACTCTTTTTCAATCGCCTTTTCGATGGTGGCTCCGGAAAGTTTAGCGAATTGCTCGAATACCTACAGCACACTCAAAAAAGCTACTTTTATTCTTGTAAAGTCCTAACACATTTACTCACCTTTCTCAGCTGATACTGATTCTGAGAAGTAAGGATGGTTAAAAAGTGCGATGGTGCACCTTTGCCAGCTAGCTTACCCTTACCATTGGCATAGAGTCGGATTGCATCCCAAAAGCATAGCATTACTGAGCACTTTGATATGAGAGGATAATGATTATACTTCTTTAGCCTGCTCGTCATTAGTATCGCGGCTTTTGTCCTTGCTTCCTGTAGCTAGTGCCACTAACAAGTCTTTGAATTCTCCAGATGTATCGTCTGCTATCTGAAGGAAAAAGTCTCCGCAGGGTTTCTTCTAGACGATCTGCGAAAATCGGAAATGGCAAGATTTTCTGCCCTGTACAGTGATTACTTTAGCTATTTTTTAAAGTCAGTTTCCCAAGAAATATCTTGAAGGCAGCTTCCCCGCAAAAAGATAGGTGCTGGGTTATTGTGGCGATGTTAAAGTAGACCTCCTATCTGAGCGATGACTGAAGTTCGGAGCGAAAAGGAGGGTCTACCAACCTTGAATTTGCTCCGAAAGTGGCTCGGATCTTACGGTAGGCCCGGACGCCGCCCACACAGCATTATCGAACTGCAAGGCCAGAATACGCGTAATACATACACACAAGAGGGCAGGACCCTCAAAAACTCTCTATTCTGCATACATCTCGTACTCGTCCGAGCCTACCGTAAGATCCGGGCCACTGCTCAGATAATCGCGGAGGGCAGGCGGTCCGCAAACACGCGTTTTCTTGCAGGCGGTCAGCAGAATTTTGGGGCGTGCCCAAAAATTCAGCGGGCGGTACCTCCATTACTGTCGAATGTCCTGCTAGCGGGGCAGAATACAGAGTTTTTTGCGGGCACTCGTCAAATAATCTTTTGCAGCGAACGCTGGCCAAACTTTCAGTGAGCGCTTGGACTCTTTTTGAGCAGTTTCGGGTGTACGTCGAGCAAATGTGAGACTCTGTGCTGCAAAGGTGTCATCGATGGTTTGATTACTCAAGTTTGAGGTACTTTCTCTTAGCGGAAGGTACCTGAGGGCTGTGCGGTCCTCCACAAAGGATCGTGCGGCCCTTAATTTTGCATATTCTCGCAAAAAGTCCGCGAGAATGCGGCCAATGCGCCGCAACTAGTCTGTAGGAAAACCGCGATAGTTCTCCGAGCATTCGTCTAAAAATTGGTAAAAATTCCCCCAAATTTCTGCAAGAGGGCCGCAAGAGATCAGCGAACTACTTTTCCGGTGCCCGCTTGTCAAAATTCGCATTGCAGCCTCCCCACGCGATTATCTGAGTGGGAGTGATTTGTAGACAACCCCTTTCGGCCTGCAAACATCTGTCATCGCTTAGCTAAGGGGGTCTACTTACACGATACCAAAGCTACACCCTAACCTGGTGGGACGCTGCCTAGAAGTATATGAAGTTGTTTATACTCGCGAAAGATGTGCTGCATCGAGTATATAGGTTGTCTCATAATTTTTTTCCGATGCTGCTAAAACCATTCTTCTTCCTATCTCTTCCTTTCATAAGTGCGCGTTGAGCTACCTTCTGACAGAACAAAGCAAAAGCTACGAAAACGTGACCGAGCGCCCGCCTAGAATATCTCATGTAAAATATCAAGCTGAAATTCCACAGTCTTAAAAACATTAGAGGCAGTGCCTCACCAGATTCGATTCCTGCCGGACTTTTACAGATTTCATTGAGGGACCCTCTTATCAGGCCAGTGCAAATCCTGCTCGATAAGGCCTCGGCTACTTTGAGAAAATTAAGCTCAGTGTGGCGCGCGAAGCGCTCGCCTTCCGCTGGGCGACTTGTCGGTATTCCTATCGCGTTGCAACAGGTCTTTGCGGGCGACGCCATCCGTCTCGAACATCTGACTCTGCGGAGCAGCGTCCACCTAAAATTTTGCCTCCCATGTTTCTGTCATTCCGGGGTGTTTCTGTGGCCCTGATCACAGTTATAAAGTTCATATAGTTCAAAACCCTCAAAAAACCCGGTCGCTGAAACCTGTCTTGAGGGCGCGGACAGCTTTCAGTAAATGGGTGGCCAGAGTCTTATAGGATCTGGGCGGTGTCTGATAGCACTTTGATGTTCCAGGCCCCTTATCTCCATTCAGAGACAACATTAGAGGACCGGACCAACGCAGATGCCTTTCTTGTGGGGCCATTCAGGATTGGGCCTAATCGGAGGGGTTAGATTTAGCCTGGGCACTGCGTTTAAGGTAAATCAGCTCGTCCGCATTGTTATCAAGGGACTTTCACTCGATTAAATTTTTTGGAATTTTTAAGCGGAGTTGAGCCCATGTAGTATACAAGGTAGGAGATGCTGGTGGTTTGCAAAATACGAGTCCTAAATTTTGGTCAGACACTGCCTTTAAGTGTTAAAAACCATGTCTTTGCCCCATGTCAAGTCAATTCCATGAATCATTCCAGATTGCTTGTTAGGTGGAGTGCAATAAATAAGCACGCTGTGTAACTTACCGTAAACAAGAATTCGAAACATTCGTGGAATCTAACCTCCTACCGCGTCAAAGCAGGCACCTCTATATTAGGTTGCTGCATAAGTTCTGTCCGATTTTTTGCCTCATATTTGAAGCAGCTGTTCTAAGAGAATTTCATGTCTAATGCAGCCTTGTTGGTATCATTGAAAAGTGCTTTCCTTGCGCTTTCTAACGCATATCAGATTCCAATAAATTTCTTGGTGTAGATTTCCGGCCTAAAACCTCAAAGTGGCCGAGATACGTTGTCACTTTAGATATATGTTCTTGCGAGAAAATCTCCACAATGCTCTCTCCAAGTCAAGTTCTTTCATTGGCTGCGGAATAAGGGTGCAGAAGGCTAATATTAGGTCGTTCCGAAAGTTCTTTCCGTTTTTTCAACCTATCATAAAAACACGTGGAATGAAGGTATGGAAACGCTTCAGGCACTATTCGACGCAGCTTTTCTTCCTGTTTACAACTGTCATAGTCCTGTGCGGCTTGCTCTTATGATCAGTGAGATAATGGCCGAAATTTCGGACCTATGGTTTTTACCATGTCCAACTTTGGCAATTTTTCACTATCTTCTTTCTCAACTTTTGAAGAAGCTTTGATAGCAGTCAGATAGAGTGAACAAAGTGCAATGCAATGCAATTTTTTGGCGATTTCAGCCGGCTTCTCATTATTTTTTTAGATAACTTTTTCAAAAGTCTTCACTTTTTCGAACTCACAAAACACACAAACGCTCTGAACATCAACAAATCTTCGGTTTTCGAAACTTTCAAAAGTCGTTTATGATTGTACACTATTTTTACAAAGTAACTGAGCGTTTACCGCTTCGAAATATAAGATTTTGCATTGCACGGATACATCATGAGGCGGGTTCAAAATCAAGATTTATGGAAATTTTATCGCCAAAGACCCCACAAAATAATAAGAGAAAGTACTCATCAGAAAGAGGAGAAAAAGCTGCATCGAATGACACCTTAGTTATGCGCCGTTTTATGTTCTGTGGCTTTTGGCATCCCCAAAAGTGGAATTTGATAGCATCAGAAAAATAATTCTAAAAATGTTTTGAGGCTAGCTATAGATGCCAAAAAATCGCATAAAATTGCATTTTGTTTACTTTATCCAACTGCTATCAAAGCTTTTCCAAAAGTCAAAAAAGAAGATAGCGAAAAATTGCCAAAGTTGGACATGGTAAAAACCATGGGTTCGAAATTTCGGCCATTATCTCACTGATCATAAGAGCAAGCCGCACAGGACTATGACAGTTGTAAATAGGAAGAAAAGCTGCGTCGAATAGTGCCTGAAGCGTTTCCCTACCTTCATTCCTCGTGTTTTTATGATAGGTTGAAAAAACGGAAAGAACTTTCGGAACGACCTAATATATGCAGGAGTTTGGTTCCATGAAGAAAACGTCTTGCTAGTAATTTTTTGTATAGATGTTTTACAAGCTATAACTTTCCGGGAATAGAATTAATCGATAAGCTCAAAGTTGGAGATGCTAGGGCAAAGCAAGAGCTAGCAGGGTCCATCCACCAGTTCCTTTTCGGCGCTCACGTCAATTGCAAACTTTTCATAATTCGCAAATAGGCATGCACACATGTACTGAAGCGAGGTCAAAAAGTGGCTATTTTTTGCTCGGTCAAAAAAATCTCTCGACAGCGCAGACCTTATGAGCTCTTTTATGTGCATAATAATCTATGAAAATTTCTCTATCTATCCGTTGCTTAAAAAGATGCCTACCAATTCTCATAAGGGAGCGTTGCCATGTCAAAAAAGACAGGTCTGAAGAAAAACGCTGTGAAGTTTTTGCATTCTTGCTTCTTCCTTAACAAGGATTTGCGCAGGTCTCAATAAGTGTTTCATAGCCAAGGAACTTCTTCACAAATAGAAACTAAGATTTTGGAAAAAGGTTGAGTATGAAAGAAGTTACGACGTTTTGAACTCAAAAAAATTCAAATCGGACAAAACTTATGCAGCAACCTAATATATGGGAAGAGGCGCTGCGCCGAGCTGAGTCGAATGGTGGCTTTAGATGCAGAGTTCGTCCACTCTGAAGCGAGATATGGCCACGCGACGGTGATGTTTATACATAAAGTCTTTTTTTTCAAAAAATGTGAGCGGTATTGTAAGTCCGTATACCATACTTACGGATCTACAGTATCCTAGCATGTAAGCATAATCGCTGAAATCATCCCATAACTATCACTAGACTACAAACAAGCCTCGAAGTTGTACTGGCCCAAAATCATCAAGAAAATAATGCAGTAGCTTACAATATACCATATGATTTAACGGGATTGGCGGATGGAAAGAGGGTTTTGAAGTCAGAGCAGGGAACCAGATTGCGTCGCGGGCGCGAGCGGTCGCCTAACAGCCACCGATCCTGTTTAATTAAAGGGTGGGATCTTTTTCGCTATTTGGTAGGTAAATACTTCTGAAAATTCAAATGAGTAGAAATAGGTAAGCTATACTACTACTGCGCAACACGTCCATTAGTCTGCGAAAAGTGCGACTTTGTGGACAACATAGTGCACAGATTTATCTATGTGAGAAGTGATTATACTTCAACGTGAGCTCACAAATATGACGCAAAGAGTTAAGGCAGAAATTCGAGCACAATTTTTGGTTAAAGTTTGATTTGCTTCAACACGAAAAGTCGAATTCTGCCTCAGTGCTTGCGTCGTTAAGCATGTGGAAGAATACCTGTAAATCCGTCGCTTCTAAATCAACTGAAAAACGGTGAGACATCCCACTCAAACACATTTCTAAGGACCATATGTTTAAAAGCATTTTCAAAGTAATATTAGGTTGTCCGGAAATCAATGCTCGTTTCAAATTTCAAACGCAATAAGTCATATACTTCTCATTTCCAAATAGGTTGCAAAGTATCATTCGATAGAGCAAAGCAAGCTCTACAACATGGCCATCTCGCTTTTGCAACAGCTCCGTCCACCTCGAGCTTCGAACCAAAAACTAAAAAGACTCAGCAGACCGATAAATCGAAAAAAATCGTAACTCAGTTCATAAAAATCCTACAAAAATTCTTACTTGCTCACGAAAACACTATCCACATAAAAATCTATATACGCTGTGGCCGCATTTTTCCCTTTGTTAAAAACCAAGAAAACGGAAATTTTCGTGCATTTGCCAAAGTGATGCTGTGCCGTCCCCACATAGGTAGTTGTATACCAAAGCCTGTAGAAGTACAGACTCAAATTTTCAGCTCTCTACAAGCTTTAGTTCTCGAGGTCCAGGCTAAAATTCAGATTTCTCGAGTACTAAAGCTTGTAGAGAGCTAAAAATGCAAGTTTGTACTTCTACAAATTTGTAGTATACAACTACCTATGTGGGGACGGCACAACACCACCTTGGCATAAGCATAAAAAATTCCGTTTTCTTGATTTCTAACAGTGGAAAGAATACGGCAACGGCGTACATAGATGTCTTATATAGATAGTTTTTACTGAGCAAGTAAGAATTTTTGTAGGATTTTTATGAATTGAGTTACGATTTTTTTCGCTTTTTCGGTCTGCTGAGTCTTTTTAGTTTTTGGTTTGAAACTAGAGGTGGACGGAGCTGTTGCAAAAGCAAGAAGGACACGTTTTAGAGCTTGCTTTGCTCTATCGAATGGTACTTCGCAACCTATTTAGAAATGAGAAGTGTATGACTTACTGCGGTTGAAATTCAAAACGGGCATTAATTTCCGGACAACCTAATAAAAGCGGGTAAGCTTTTTTTGAAGGTGAGCACAGCTCAAGTGAACTGTTTCACACTTTTGAATATGCATCTACATGAATGATTTTGGAAGCGAAGTACTTTATTGAATAGATATTGTCGCCTCCTCGTGCACGCTTTGGAGTATTTGCAGACACCTGATCGCATTGGTGAATTGTCAAATCCATGCAAAGTATGCTTCTTTGTGCCCTATAGACTGCCCGTATACTTGCTGTTGTCATACGTGGAAGGGGTGGTAGCGAGAGATTACAAAGAACAATGCCTTGCAGTAGAGGATTAAGAAGTTCGCCAACTTGTTTAGATGTCTGCAAATGCTCCGCTCAACATACACCGGGGAGGCGACGGTACTTTGTTCAAGTCAATATTTTTGGCCAGCCTCAAAGCCTGCTTTTTCCAATATTTTTTATTTTTCCGTGCGTAATAGAACGAGAAGGGGACCCGCTCTGAAATGCTGACAGTAGACTGATGTACACTATCTGTACCAAATTTTAAACGGACTCGTTGACAACCGAGTGAGTTACCGCCTTCTTTGGAGTGGACCTATAGTTGTGGCCAGCACTGTAAGCTCGGTAAATTCTAAGCCATCACGAGAATTTCAAGGAACATGCCAGAAAGAAGAAAAATTGTCAAATGTCGTAAAAAATGTCTATCATTGCGTAGTGTAATTAATGGATGGGTAAATTGCCTGAACCGACGGCAAAATTTGCATAGAGAACATGATGGATCACAAAAAAGGGTTCTGTTTGATTGATGCTCGGAAATACAGCGGATGAGAAAAATTTGACGCATTGGGCACGTAAGCGTTAAGCCCAACATTCTAAAATGCTTTTTCCTCTGTGCATTTTTGGATGGATCGAGAATAGCGATCTTGACACTCTATGCGTGGAATAAAGATAGCTCGTGCTTTTGGGAGATTTATAATATGAAAGTCGTTGAATCCTACATCTTTCTCTAATGGTGTCTTGTACTCGTGCTCATAAGCAACTCGAATAGCAGCCAACTGGTCAGGAGTGCGAGAACAGAGTATTTCAATCAGTACTGCTTCGTCTGTGCCAGGGCCCTACAAAAAGAAAATAACAAAGAAAAACAGGTTAAGTCTCCCTTATTTGAGAACTTCAACGTTATCAACCTTCATAGCTGCTTTCAGCTGTTTGACGTCATAGTCTAGGGGAGTGTCCATAAGTGCAAGCACAGTTTTCTTGAGATCTCCGCCCAATTTCTTGTCGAGCGCTGCGATGATGTCCTTACCGTAATTAATCCTGTAGGGCTCGCGCATCTGAAGATATTCACATAAAAGGTCGGATGGCGACGAGCAAGTATTCAGAAATTCTTCAAAAGTCGGAAATAATTACCGTTTAACGAAGTGATTCAGCTTTATTGAATCTATTTTGATACGTCATGGAGCAAAATGTTACACTCGCATGAAGGCTAGATCAGTTTGAAATAAACCAAAACAGAATGTCAAATCATAATTTGCAAAGCACTTAATTTTTCATTATTAACATCTCCGCTTAGTCCTGCGCGACTAATCTTATCCTACAACTCAAAAGTCAATCTGATCATGACCCTCCTGCTCGAAACGCAAGTGTGCAAATATGTGTCAAGTGTCAATCGAAATAGAAGCAAACTACAAGAATTATAATCACAGGCAAAATAGATACGATGTAACAGAAGTTAGGTGGTGTTAGTAACAAAAAGAGATTTTTCTGCATTGTCATTTTTTTCACAGACTTTTTCGCTGTTTAGATTTTGTAACGAGATTTATTCTTAAACCTACATGCTAAAGGCGTTCTATTTGGATTTTTAGCCTTTCTAGCATTCTTTGAATGATTTACAATACAGGAAGCAGTTGCTCCTGTTTATGATATTTTCCACAACTGACCATTTGACGCTGCCTGTTGCTGATCGAGGTCAACACTTTGACAATAGCATCCTTGTCGCCAGCTTTTAGAGCATGACCGAGCTTATCGGCGTACATGGCCGGGTCAAAGTTGGGATTGTCAACAATTGTGGCATATTGGGAGTTCATTCTGCGGCTCCTAAGAGAATGGCTTTGACTAGTATAAGGAAAAGACATAAATAAAAGACGACAGTGAAGAATATGGAGAACAAGTGCGAGATTTTGCAAAATACTACCGCGATTGTCGGATAAAAGGAGAAATCACGTCGTTGGATAGCAGACAGTTCGGCAACATCAGCATATAGACAGCAAGGCTTCCTTCTTAATGAGGAGAAGGATGATACCTATCAAACTTACGTGAGCGCGGGAATACAAGAGAGCATATAACCCACTTACGCACAGACGGCAAGTGCACTCTGTGCGAAAGCTGTAGCTTGATTGAAGAAAAAAGTGGCTAATTTGTGCAATGGTGCGAGAACTAATATAGCGAAGTAACGGTCCACAATTTACAGCGATCGTGATGTAAAATCGAAAATCTCAGCATGCAGTGGCTACCAATTAACACTTCTTCTCAAAATGTTTCGCTTTTTTAGGACTGCCAAGTCAAAGGAAGATCTTTGAAAGAAACCATGGCTGATTTTCTTGGTCGAGAAGCCATAGAGCAAAATTTCGACGCTACGAACAGATGCGCTGTCTGACACGAAGAAGGACGGATTCTTGTCAGTGAGAATGATAACTGACGCCTAACTGAAGCCATAAATGGATTCATCGCGGTGCATTTATGTAACCGCTGAGGATGAATAAAGATCTATCTTTCTACCTATTATTCTATCTACCTAAGAAGCCTCATCAAGCGAACGAACGAGCGAACGAGCCGCTTAAGCCGTATTTGTAAGTCCAAAGTAGAACAAAAGTGAAAAAAGCATTATAGAATATAGCTCAAAATTTGATTCGTATGTCAGCAACCCAATCTTTTCGGAAAGATTGTTAAGAATCTTTGAGCATGAACGGGAATCAGGGCGTAGAAGGGCCGAGAAGTGGTAAGCACAGACAATTTTAAGGATTCGCAAGCTCTGCAAACAAATGATAAATGTCGGATAGAGGAAAAAAGTTGCAAGTGTAACCCGACGTGCTTTTCCGCCTACTCTGCGAGAATTTATGCTCTTAGATAGTAATGCAACGAATTTTGTTTCCATGGGAAGCTTCATGTTTTATCAGTCAACATACCATTCGAAAGCTTGGAACATAGAGAATCGACGAAAACCGTCTCTTTCTTCCACCTTTCCTGTGAATTCAGATATAAAACATCATATCTAGTTTCAGCATCAGCTGATTTTATGCAATTACTTTGCTCTCCATTTCTGAAAAAAAAGAGGAAAGCTTGAAAAAAGAGACAGTCTACGTTTACTGGTGAAGTCTTGCTATGTAATACGGTTAGACAACTGGGCATCTTCATTCGTTCTTCGCATAAAAATTTCCTCACACAAACACACATGTCTTTAGTTAAAATGCCATGTATCTCTGGGTAGATGGGAGCTAGGGAAAAAGAGACGGTCTATGTCGAATAACTGTTTTGTGAGCTTTCTAATGGTGCTTGGTTGTAAAGTGAAAAAACTCGTGGCTTTTCAAAAATGAGGTGGAGATATTTACTATTAGGTTGGGAAGTTCCCGGGCACTTACGAAAATTTTTCCAAATCGCTTCAACTTCAAGCAGATGATTATTTTTTGAAGCTACAAACTTCATTGCAAAGGCATATTTGTCCACAACATATAGGTGTCTTCATGGCTTTTCAGCACCTCACTGCGTTCCACCGGCATGCGCGAAAAAGAAAAAGGTCGTCGCGAAAAGTGGCCTATTTGTGCAGGATTATCTCTGACACGATGAAAGCTGGAGAGCTCAAATGCTGTGGTTATTTAGAAGTTTGCTGAGGCTGTATAGAGACTGTTTAGCCTTTCAGCGACTGATGCAGAAAAAGTTTTTCCAAAAAGTAAAAAATCGATCTTTTTTGCTCCTAAAACTGCACTATTTTTCGAATAAGTAACTTTGAAGTCTTGTCGTTCTGCACAGGGTAGACCAAATCTTTGATTACTGGGAACATTGTTGCGGTAATGCCTTATACACCTTTTGGACCCATCATCCAGGCCTAGCGATCCCTGCAGAAGCGACCCCAGATGCGAAAAGGATTGTAGTCAGAGGCAAGTTTGACAGCCTGTAATTTCTGAGCACAAATCGCAAAACTCGAGTGCAGCTGCGGGTCAGAAGTTAACAGGCTTCTCAATCAGATCACTTATATTTCGGACGGAATTCTTTGAATTGCCCAAAAAAATGGCCGTAGGAAGATAAATTGGAAATTTTTATGGTAGGAAAGATTTTTTCTTGATGTGCAGATTAAACACGTTTTGGCATCGATAAAAATCAGAAGATGTATTGAAAACTTTAGGCTTCCCTCTACTGAACGGTATAAAAAGATTGGTGTCAAAGTCAGACCGAGCGCCGAAAAATTGCGTTTGAGAATAAAATTTCCAAAAGTGCCTGGGAACTTTCTTTGCAATCTAAAATTAGCTTGCTCCACCCCGCTCTTGACTTGTTGGTCGCCGGAGCAAGACTTTTTTGGAGTGGGAAAGCTCTGTTCACCAACACTTTGTGTAAAAGCACACGAGGAATCGAAGGAATCAAAGACCGTCTCTTTTTTCCTAGCTTTTCTCTGAAGCGAGGTACAAGCAGGTCTAGCTGTTTTAAGAACCAGGAGGGTCTTTTTCGAAGTTTTATATATGATTCGAAAGCTTGAGAAACTTATAATTTAAATGCTCTTTTATTTGCTATTATTATTCTTTTTTATTATTCTCTCTAATGAAAGGAGATATGATACGATTCTTGTCAGTAAACATGCATCCATCACTAGCGAGTCCAGATTTCCTACTCTTGCCAACTCTTTCTTGCAACAATGTGTATTCATTGATGCATATTAATTACTCAAAGAATCAGACATCCTTTTAGTTTTGATAATGTTTCGTTATCAGCGCCTTTTTAAGTGTGCAGGAGGTCTCAAGCATGCATTTTTCAACAAAACGCTATTGCTTCGATGCTCTCTTGCAGTCTTGATGTCTGGAGAGAAGAGCAGCTGGCGTTTCCTTTCCAAACAAAAAAGTGCCGTTGTGACAGCTGTTTAATCCTGCTGTTATGCCTTGATTCTAGTCTCAACCTAAGGTGAAAGGGGTCAGCCAGTTGCCGGCCATAAACTGAAGGGAGTCAGAGAAATTAGTGGTTAACGGATAGCCTAAATAAGAAATTATTTGCGGATGGTACCGCGTTCAGCTCACTGGAACACCAAAGAGACCGACCGTTTATCGTAAACCAAAACGAACACTGAGCAATGAACAAAAAATCAATGAGCAAAACGGACGGAGCCAATAAGAATCAAGAGATTTGGCGCGCGTTGTCGCGACACCCTATGATCTGAGATAGAGAATGAACATTACCCTTAGGAACATAGAAACCGGTTAATGACACGTAACAATTAATAAGAGATCAACACAATAACAACAAAACAAGACAAAAACATAGCGTCTTAGAGACTACTCAAAAGAAAACTCAGAAAACTCAGTGACAGCTAATACACACAGAGCACAAGAAAACTGAAACTACAGTAACTCAAAAAAAAGGATGACTACGGTTACATCCCCCCCTACAGGAAGTGCGTCCCGACACTTAATTTGGGCTATAATGATAATCATATCTTCCACAAGGGTATCCATCAGTGGCGTACCCAGGATTTCGGCTCGGGGGGGGGGGGCCGCGACAAAAAAAATTTCCTAGTGAAGGTGCGTGGCGTGAGCCACGCACTCCGAAAATTTTTTTGGGTGCTTATCAAGACTCTTGCGGGTCTCCGACCCCTAAAATCCGGAAAAAGGGGGGTTTTACAAAGCTAATTCGAATTTTTAAAAATTTTTAAAAAATATTTTAATTATTTACAAAAATAAACAAGTCACTTGCGGTACGCCACTGGTATCCATATCCGCCTCTTGGATAGTAGTAGAAGCGGCCTCTTCCCTGGTCCATACGATGCTGGTCTGTATCCGTGCGCATAGTGTCTTTCTTCGTGTAGTCGTTGTTCGAAATGTCGCTGTTCGTGCGGTTGTTGTCCATGAACATCTCCTTCGTGCTGGCATTGTCCATATCGCCTCTGGTGCGTTCCTCTTGCTTCGACTTCTATTACTGACCTCTAGTGGCATATCTACTTTGACGTATTCAATCACTGCTGCAAGAAAATCGGCTATTACTGCATTCGGATAGCCTGTCCATTCATTCTTTCTTGATCGCACTCCCACTGCCAATGCTGGTTTCGTAAAAGCTGGGGGCTGCGGTATTTTCGTGACAACATTCGTCTTCATCGCATAAGCATATTCTTCCACAAAGTTCATGACTTCGATCATTTTGAGTCTCGTTGCTTCCCATTCTTTTTCTCCTCTTGCGGAGACAGTGCAACTATCTTTGATCCTGATCGTGCCACAGTCCTGAAAGACATTGCCCCACCCACTCTCCTTTGGGTGGTAGCTTATTAGTAGCTGGTCCTAAGAACACTATGTTGTGTGGCTCCTGCAACTGTCGTAATTTTTTACAGATGTCTTGAAGTCATTTGCAGATAAATAAGATAAATGATGTCGTGTTCGGCCCGAACATCACGGCATGCTTGAAAAATACGAATTCTTGCGGCGAGAAAAAAATGGCTCTTTCTTTCTTCTGTTTGGTCGTCACGTTTGACCGCGACTTCGCCATAGCGAAGCAAACTCCTTCATTTACCAGGGAATTGACCTAATCGATGGTTAGGCCACTATTACGTCCGTGCGCATAAGCAAACTGCTTCCGTCGTGTCGCATTAGGCCCCTGGTATTTAAGCAATGACGTTTGAAGAATACGTACGCTTCTTGGGCTCCGGAGGTGATTACGAATATGTACTTCCTGTCTTTCATTAGGAAGTGGCACTTATCCGCATCTCGTTTTTGTTCGTAAATTAATATGTATCTGGCGAGCGAGAAGATAGATTTGATTGGGAGTGTTGCAGTCACAGGGTCGACATTGGGTACTACGTCGCCGAAGGTTTTTCCTCGCATGTCGCAGTCTAAGTCATCGTCTCCTCGACCCAGAACAGGTGTGAAACAAGCTCAATGCCGAATTATCCATTTCTGATGCCGTGGCCCTGTGGCCAATTCATTCACGTGGACTGACGTTGTCGGGTCTGACCTAAGCGCACGCCAGTAGGGTTTCTGGGTCCATTGACTACTTGTCTGGGGCTGTGATCGGTCCTGATGCATCCTTTTCA